ATATATATATATAGGGTTTAGGGTGTAAGGGTTAAGTTTTTAGTATTTTGCCCAAACTCCAAATATCAGATTTCCCAACCCTAAGCCCTGGAACCCATGCCGCTAATAAGCTCTAAACCCTAGAACTCTACTGCGGGCCCGAATAGTCAGTAGTAGTATTTCCCTCTAGACCCTGGATGTACAAACATACTGATTTTTTCAGGTCCCTATATTAAACCCTATAACCCGATAGACTATAAAACTGTAGAAAACCTATTGACATTCTTAATCCCCTGGAAACCCTGTCCCAACCATTAAAACCCGTAGCAACCAGTCCCTACCCATAGGCCCCATAGTAGTTCCTTGCTGGGGTTACCTTATAGGAATCTACATATGAACCCCAAAAAGGAACTGGGCCTATGGGTATACCCTATAACCCTAAACCCAAAACCCTAAACCCTACAACGTGTAAGGTTCTACCACGACAGCGCGGAGAATCCGCGGGTCCTCTCGGTAGGGACCTTTTCCAAGCTGATTGGGCCAGGTCTAAAAATTGGATGGGTCCAGGCACGGGGTTTAGGTTTCAGGGTTTAGGGTTTAGGGTTGTCTTTTAGGTTTTAGGGTGTAGGGTATACCTGAAGCCCGAAAAATGTACCTTGCCAAGGAGACAGATAGCGAAATCATAGCAATGATACCTAAAATGTAGGTGTTTTGAATTCAGGTGGCGGTTTTGGAGTTGAGGGTTTTGGTTGCTGAGGTCGCCCCTAAACTCTAAACCCCTAAACTCTAAACACTAAACCCTAAACCCTACTCTAAACCCTAAACCCCTGAACCCTAAACTCTAAACCCTAAACCCTAAACCCTAAACGCCTAAACTCTAGACCCTAAACCTTCTAAACTCTCTAAACCCTCTGATCCCCTATGGGGTATAGGGCTTTAGGGGTTGCAGGGATTCCCGCACGGCAGGAAAACAGGCATACTATGCAAGCCGCGTCGCCACAGAGCCGACCCTGTCGTTGCCCTATATGTATAGGGACTGCGAGCGAGGGTTTGGGGTTTAGGGTTTAGGGTTTAGGGTTTAGGGTTTAGGGTTTAGGGTTGACGCAGACGTCTTTGTGTTACCTGCTCCTTTGACAGGGGCGATATCGCTGTCGCCTTAGGTGTTTCGGAGTGAAGCCGAGAACCCTGTGTCTACTTGGATTTCAAGGGCTTCTGCCGCATCCCAGACCATTAGCAGGGCCCAGAAGACCACACCAAGTGACTTAACCCTAGTTAACACCTAAACCTAAACCCTGCACCCTAAAGATCGTGAAGCCCAATCCTAAAATCCTAAACCCTAAGACCCTAAACCCTACTCCCAATCCTTAAACCTGAAAGCCCTGCACCCTGCCAGGCGCACGAGCCCCTTTTGAAGAAGCTGGGTGGTGTCGGATGGGTTGTCAGTGGCAGCCACCTGCTCTAAAGCAGTTTCGGCCCAGGTTTAGGGTTTAGGGTTTATCGGCCCAGGGTTTACGGTTTACAGTTTAGGGTTTAGGGTTTAGGGGTTTTCGCCCACCCTACGCCCTAAACCCTATATCGCAGCAGTTGCTTGAAGTGGGTCTCTTTGGATTCATTGCTTCAGGGCTCCTGTCTTGCTTCGGACGGCTTGGTCAAGGCTTAGGGTTCGAAGCTCAACCCCCAAAGCCATCTCAGTATGTGCCAGAATGTTTTTTGAGGCTGTCCTGAGGGCTTCTTGATATAGCGCAGAGTATAAAGTCTAGCTACTCAGGCTTCCAAACTATTGAGACTGCACCGGATATCAATTCACCATAGCCATTCCCCTAAACCCTAAACCTTAACCCTTTACCCATTCCGCAACTACCCAATTTGAAAGCTTGCAGCACAGCACCAGTGGAGAGCGCGACCTGCCTATGGGTTTTAGGGTTTAGGGTTTAGGGTTTAGGGTTTAGGGTTTAGGGGACAATCCACAATGTCGATAATTTAACTTGGTGTTCTTATGGTTGGCCCTTAGGAATTTACCTTTTTGGGGTTCTATATGAACTATAATAAGGACGCTAAAAGTTTAACTTGTAGGAGGGGTTCAGAAGTCAGACGGTTCAGAGTCAGCGGTTTTACAGCGGGTGTCGTGCTGGCGACGATGCTAATCTAGAACAAAGTTTTTTGAGGGTTGGCTGTTAGAGTTTAGAGTTTAGGGTTTAGGGTTTGTGTGTTCAGGTCCGGCTATGCGGTTAGCGTCGGACTCTTCTGTCAGTGGCGATACATAAACTGCAAACCATCTTGGGTGCCGGCTTGCTGCAGGGGTCCGGCTTGTCAAACTTGTCAGTTAGGTTTGGGTTTAGGGTCGCATCGTCGTTTTGTCGTGTGTGCGACCTGCGACAAGAAGCTAGCCGTGCCCCCTAAACCCTAAACCCTAAACCCTAAACCCATGATCTGAATTCCCTCATACTGGGATGCCACATGAGTCCCGCAGTACATTTGAGCAAGCTCTTCCAGCTTCTCCACAAAGCTGTCTAACTGGCATTCTTATATCCGTCTACATGTCTAGCTCTGTCTCCAGATGTTGTGCTTTCTTGCTGGGTTGTTGCTGAAACTCCTGTCTTCCTGTAACATGTCTTTGCTTTCGTATCGATAACTATACTGAGGTATACATGGGTGGTTGTCAAAATTATGGTCCCTTTTTGGGTCCTTATTATAATACGGCACCTATTATTTAGTGTACCCCAAAAAGGGACCATAATTTTGACAACTACCCACATGACATATCGTAGTTCCCACACATGAGACGGCCTCGAATTGCGAAGTGCACGTACGTGTGCCTGCCTGCAAGTTTTAACTCTCGTCCTCCCTGCATACCCTAAACCGGTTTAGGGTTTAAGGTTTAGGGTTTAGGGTTTAGGGTTTAGGGTTTAGGGGCCTAAACCCTAAACCTTTGTCCCAGGCAACCCAGTCATTTTCTCTTCAATGGGCCTGCTTCATTTTTTGGAGTCTGGGGCTTTGGCAAGCCACATCAAGTACGTCACTGCAGACTTGAGAGACCGGCGTGACTTCATCTGCCAGAAGTTGCGCGAGATGGACTTCGATGCCCGACTTTATTTCAGGGTTTAGGGTTTAGGGTTTGGGGTTCAGGGTTTAGGGTTCAGGGTTTAGGGTTCCGGGTTTGGGGTTTAGGGTTTTGAGGTTTAGGATGGTTTAGGGTTTTTTCCCAGGGGGAGTCCAAGTACCCACGTAGTAAATACTCTGCCCTTGGTCGCACACTGCACATGGGTAGTTCTCTAACTTAGGGTCCTTTTCAGGGTCCTTTTTAACAAACCCTAAACCCTAAACCCTCAACCCTAAACCCAAAACCCGTTAATGAGGGTTCCGTACTATATTGCGGACCTAAAGAGGGACCCTATTTAATTTAGAGTCCCTTTAAGGGTCTTTTTTAATAAGGGTTTAGGGTTTAGGGTTGGGGACCTAAAAAGGGACCCTATGTAATTTAGAGAGCTACCCACATGAAGCCTCTGATGACCTAAGTGTAAAAAACTTGAATCCTGGCCAGGAGCGCGTGCGTCACCCTTAATTTCCACAATTAATAGGATTTGGGTTTAAGTTTAGGGTTTAGGGTTTAGGGTTTAGGGCTCAGGGTTTAGGGCTTTTAGGGTGTTTAGGGTTTTTAGGGCTTAGGGTTTAGGGTTTAGAGATGTCGGCAGAAGCATGTGCCGCGCCACAGCGGTCTCAGCATTACTTTATAATAAAGATGATAGATATTGTTACAACCGCTGTTTTGTATCGTCGTAGGGCGCAGTGAAGGGTTCTGAGGTCATGGAGAGAAAGTGGAAAATCGATGCCAAGGCGTCCAGGGTTGAATCCTCTCAGAAAGTGAGAGGACTCAAAAAAATCCTGGGATATGTCCAGATTAGTCAGTTTTTGGTGCAGCAGCACCAGAAGGGCGATGCCGAAGCCGTATCCCGTATTTTGCAGGGCACTGGTATCAACATCTCGCCGAAGGTGCTGAGCTCATTGTTTCTGGCGTACAAGAGACTCTCCAGTGCAAGCGGCGCCTTGCGGGCGATCGAATCGATGGATTCGGCGTTCGGCGCGGACCATTTTCTGGCAAACAGTGCGGTGCTGATCATGCTGTGCCAAAGGACGAGCATAGTCAACAACCCATTGTTGGCCGACTCCTTGCTGAGTTGGGTGGTCTTGGGCTTGGTGACCAAAGCCATAACGCCTGAGGATGGCAAGCATCTTCACGTGTGCGAGAAGGCATCGTAATGCGACTGATGTCTGACATACTGCTGATGGACAAAATCCTGCATGACCCAAATATAGTATAGTACCATAAATCCCATAGTTTATCTATATATAAGGTCATGCAGGATTTTGTCCATCAACAGTACTTCGGATCCTAGCCCAACATCCCTAAAACCGGCTGCCCATGAACCTTCTTTTCATGATGGCGCTTGACACCAAATTGAGCCCTGGGATCCAAGGTTTGAACCGAAATCATAAAGCTCGGGCAGCCGACCTCACCATCCATCGGACCATCCGTCTTAGACTCGAACGACCCAGTATTACCCCTAAGCCCGAAACCCTAAACCCTAAGCCCTAAACCCTAAACCCTGAACTTTGAGCCGGCGACGCCGGCAACTTCCAAATCCGGCAGCCCTTGAACCCGAAATGGTTTCAAACAGTACGTTAGCCCCAATCCCAAAAGCTCAAACCTTGGACTCTAAAGCACCCAAGCCTCTGCGACCCAGGCCGTTCTTGTGGCTTTGTATGTTTACCCAGATGGCCCAATCCTTCAATCCTAGACCATAAAGCCTTAATCCCCAAATCCCACTCCGGTACGGACTCCTTATTTGATCTTCTAGAACCTTAAATCCTAAAGCCTTCAACATTCTAAACCATTACCCAGAGCCGGTTTCAACAACCCTTACCTGTGACCCCAAACCCTACAAAATAGTAGGTTATGACTCATGACCTCTGAATTAGAGGGTAGAACCCTTAAAACGGCAGGTTTTGGGATCCCTAAACCCTAAACCCTAAACCCCTAAACCCTAAACCCCTAAACCCTAAACCCTTAACCCTTCAACCCTAAACCCCAGGTAAGGGAACCCTGAAGTATGCATAAGCCCAGCGCGACCGGAGCAAAGGAGTTTGTGGAACCGCACGGTGGGTACTTCGTCTGGGTCAAGGCAAGGATTCTTCACCTTTGAAGGTTTGGGGGTTAGGGGTTTAGGGTTTAGGGTGATTCTTCACCTTTGAAGGTTTAGGGTTTAGGGTTTAGGGGTTTAGGGTTTAGGGTTTCTATTGAGATCTTTAAAAAATGTTCAGGGGTTTAGGGGCTTAGGTTTTCTATGGAGACCTGTAAATGGGTTCTGAGTTTTGGGGCTTGGGATTTTGAGTTTGTCTAAGGGCTTTAGGAGGGACCCTTTATAGGGACCCTTGTAGGTTATTGGGGTTGATATGGAGACTACCTGGCTATATAAGGGGTATATACGGACTATACAATGGTTATTTAAGGTAATGGGATTAAGGGTCCCTATTAGAGGTCCATCCTAAAGTCCTTAGAGGCGTGCACATGCCGTGCGGTCGGTCAAAGCACCACGAACCCCGATGCGATCTACATCACAGGATCGGGACCCAACCCCCAAAATCTCCGGCCTACTGTAGGGGCCTTAATAATTAGAATAGGGTTCTGGGGCCCATTATACTATAGCTATAATCAGAAGCCCCCAAAATAGTATAGGTAGTTATTAAGGCCTCTACACGAAAACCCGTCAGATCCCTAAACCCTAAACCCTAAAAAACAAACCCTAAACCCTAAACCTAAACCCTTAGCCCTAAACCCTAAACCCTAAACTGGACTATGTTGGGCTCTTTGGGAAATGCAGGTCCTTCATCTCCATTCCGGATCAGATGCCGGTTGCGCCACAGACAGCACCTCCGCATATTTGATATGTAGGCTTTAGGGTTCAGAGGAGGTTTAAGGTTTTGTGGTTTAGGGCCAAGGGCTTGGGCTTTGGGGCACAGTTTCTTGTCCCTTTAAGGGCTTTAGGGTTTAGGGCTTAGGGGAATAGGGTTGAGGCTTTAGGGTTTATACTTGCAGGTTCATGGGACTTAATAAGTACAGTTATAAGTACCTTAATCGGGGTTATTAGTAATTATAGGTATAGTTACCTTATTTATAACCCCAGTTACGAAGTCCCAACCTTTAAGTAGGAGGTTTGAGGTTTAAGGTTTTGTGGTTTGGGGCCCAGTGTTTAGGGTTTTAGGGTTTGGGGCACAGTTTCTTGTTGAGGGGGAGGTGTTCCTGTTCTATTAGCTTAATGGTTCAGGAGTTGCAGGTTTAGAGTCTAGGATATGTGTTGCAGCTTGGTCCTCCTCAGGATCGCGTTTGGCCTTTGGATGTGTTTGGTGTTCTGCTCCCTCTTACTTTTAAGTGGTCTCCAATCGTCGGTCCAGTCTTTCTGTCTGAATGCGTCCGAACTGGGAAGTACAAGACACCCCAAAGCCCTAAATAACCAAACCCCTATGCTCAAACCCTTCCTGTCCCCGAGCAGACAAAGAATTCAAAACGAAGCGCTGTACCCAACTGAAAGTCTAAATCGCTTCACTAGAGGACTCCTGCATTCCGTTCAAGCCCGCCTACCAGGTTCCCCGGTAGTAGCCTTTTGCCCTTTTGGAACCCCGGGAGTATCTAGATCCCTTTCAGGGCTCCTCAAGGGACATACACGGGTTTATGGTTCGTGTTTATGGGGTATTTAGGGGTTCTACTTTCTAGATCCCCGGGGTCTGGGCTAGAGCCCTTCAAAAAATCCCCCAACACCCAAAGCCCTATCCCTAAACCCACACCCTTCGTGAGTCCACGAACTTGCTCGACGTGAGCTTCATCTCTCTCCGTACGGGAGAGCCGCTACCTGGCTTATCCCTAAACCCTACACCCTAAACCCTAAACCCTAGACCCAAAACCCTAAACCCTAAACCCTTAGCCTAAACCCTAATCCCTAAATCCTAAACCCTAAACCCTAAACCCTAATCCCTAATCCCTAATCCCTAATCCCTAAACCCTAAACCTTGCATCTTGAACCTGCGAGCCTCCGGAGTCCATGTGGGTGGCTTCCGAAATGAGGCTTTAGGGTTTAGGGTTTAGGGTTTAGGATTTAGGCTTTAGGGTTTAGGGTTTAGGGTCCCTTTCTTTTTATAAGGGTGCCGTATTATATTGGGGACCCAAAGAGGGACCCTAATGTAGAGAACTACCCATGTGCTTGTGAACCATGGAGTATAGGAATTTATTTTGAGGTTAAGTTTATGGGTTGGGGGTTTCGAGTTCATGGTGTTTTTATTCCTTGGACTCGGACAGTGCCCATGCAGTAACCCCCGTAATACCAAAGTAGAATACCCAAAGAGTAAGGTGTTGGCTCCCGAGCAGGATGCAAAAGCCTTGGGCACTTGGACCCTTAACACCGTCTACAAATCTTCGTCAATATTCCAGCAATCGAAGGGTAGAATAGGGTTCCCAGCCACCCCTGATGACACACTAGGTCAGGATCTGGAACTTCTCCAGAACCAAGAATATTTCCATATTCTGGGCTTGAAAACACTGTTACGGTTTGGGGTTTTAGTAGCCTTGAACACATTCTCCAAGTTGCTCATCACCATCTGCAGTCCCTATTTTCTTTCCGCACACTAGACTCTAAACCCGAAAGCGTAAACCCTCAACCCAGAAATGCCTATATTATACAGACTTTACTCAAAGCCCTGAACCAAGTTCAAGGTTGTAGATTTAGGTTTTCGGTTTCCGCCAGCAACCTGTATCCTACATTGTACACCCCTTGCTATAAGGCTTAATGTCAGGAGCACCGCACCAGGAGACTCCCTACAAAGCGGACGGGGTTTGTGAAACAAAGGTGTGTGCTACGGCTCTCTAGAGCCTTAAACCGTCTAGAAACCTGGACCCTAAGCCCTATAAAAAGTCAGAATATAGATTTCTGGCTGCCTACCAACAACTTACAAGATGCAGTATGCCAAAGGGGCAAGAGGCCCTAAACCCTAAGCCCTAAACCCGCAAGATGCGAAAGATGCAAAGCGCCACTGTTTTTCCCAAAGCCCCTCCTCCTAAAACCCGCATAAAAAGACTCATAGCTCGAGATCCTGAGGCTCTGCATCACCATCCCCAAACCCTAAACTTTGCACCTCTAAACTTATATAGGGGCCTTAATAATTACCTACTCTATTTTTTGGGGGAGGGGGTCCTCATTATGATAATAGTAGAATATACCCGAAACCCTATTCTACTCATTCAGGCCCCTATACTAAGTGAAGCTTGACCCTAATATAGTACCCTAGGGACCCTAATATAGCACCCTACAATAGTAAGATCCTTATTGTAAGGACCCCAAAATAAAGCACCCCTATTCTTCGGAATCTCCCAAGTGAACCTTGAGGCTGTGCATCACCATGAGCAGCCAGCAGACCGGCCTGATCACCATCCGCACAGACGACATGGAGACCGCTGGGGAGCTGATCCAGGAAATGGGGGTTTAGGGTTTGGGGTTTAGGGTTTAGGGCCTGCCTAAAAAAGAACCTAAGGTGGGGTTTTGGGGGCTCCTTATTATAGTTATAGTATGATATACCCCCCAAACCCTTTTCTAATTATTCAGACCCCTAAATATTAAGGTGAAAGGTTTAGGACGGGGTTTGGGGTGTAGGTTTTGGTAGGGTTCCGGGCTCTTTTACAAGGGCCTCGCCGGGCAGGGTTTAGGGTTTAGGGTTTAGGGTTTAGGGTTTAGGGTTTAGGGTTTTTGCTTCTATTCTAAGGGGAAGGGAGCGCTGTTAGGTCTAAGGGTTTGTTTTGGTGGCGGAAAGGAAGGTTTTCTTAAGGGCAAAAAACCCTAAACCCTAAACCCTCTTTCCTTAAGGGCTTTAATGTTTAGAGCTCAGGCTTTATTGGTTTAAGGTCTCAGTGTTGAGGCCATGCTTCCAGCACGGGTGCCTTAAGGGCTGCTTTATAAGGGGTTTCAGGTACTAGCTACTGGTAGAATACTGAAGTAGGGCCGTAGGGTTTCAGGGTTCACCCATGTGCGTTGCGGCTTGGGGTTTGTTATAGTTATAGTTCTTGTGTAATTCCGCAAATCCGACGTTAATTGTTAGAATGCAGGCATAGGTTCGAAAAGCTGGATTTCTTTGGTTTTTCATCTAGGGCAAGCCGTACACCCTCTAGGCCCTAAACCCCTGACAACCCCTGAAAGTCACAGTAAACCCAAAGCCCTAAACCCTGTAGACTCGACAAACCAAAAGGTCGCAGTACGACGGTTTAGGGTTTAGGGCTTAGGGGTTGATGGACAAAATTTTAGTTTAGGGTTTAGCGTTTAGGGTTTAGGGTTTAGGGCTTAGGGGTTGATGGACAAAATCCTGCATGACCTTGGGTTTAGGGTTTAGGTTTAGGGTTTAGGGTTTAGGGTTCAGGGTTTAGGGTTTAGGGTTTAGGGACCTTATATACCTAAACCTTGGGATTTATGGTACTAAACTATATTTGGGTCATGCAGAATTTTGTCCATCAACAGTATGTCACAGTAAACCCTACGAAGCCTTACTTGGAGGCGCATGGGACTTAATGAGTACAGTTATAAATACCTCAATTGGGGTTATAAGTAGTTATAAGTAAAGTTACCTCGTTTATAACCCTAATTACGAAGTCCCATGAACCTTTAAGTAAGCCCGTCAACCCTAAACCCTAGTTACCCAGACCCCCGGGAGGATCCAAAAAGTAAATCCCTTAATGGGGTTCCCATAAAGAGCCCTTAGTAGTATAGGGTCCCAAATTAGGGGTTCTACTTTTTACATCCTCCCGGGGGTCTGGGTACGAAGCCTTATAGATTGGGGGAAGGACCTGTAGACTGTTAATGGACGGAATGGTTTAGGGTTTAGGGTTTAGGGCTTAGGGGTTAGGGTTATGGAAACCCTAAACCCTAAACCCTAAACCCTAAACCCTAAGCATTAGATTAGAGATTGGGGGAAGGACTTGTGCGGCTTCCTCCAAGTGAGCGAGTTGGAGTCTTCGGCCAACTTCCCGTCTGAAATGGAGAGGCTGCACGGTTTACCCTTAGCATCACAATAGCCCAGAAGCCATATACTGTTGATGGACAAAATCCTGCATGACCCAAATATAGTATTGTACCATAAATCCCACAGT